ATGGCCCCGCACTCCGCATAGTTGCCAATATTTTGGGAATTTTGGGGATTTTTGATCCTTGCCAGTGTTTTCGCATTTCAGGCTTTACAAATTTTGGTGATTTTCGAGCCTGGCGGCATTTCGTCAACGTCGGATGCTAAAACATTGCCAGGCTCGAAAATCCCCAAAGCTTTGCAAAACTAAACACCCACGGCCCCATAGATGCCACGATTTTGGGAATTTTGGTGATTTTTGATCCCTGCCGATGTTTTCGAATTTCAGGCTTTACAAATTTTGGGGATTTTCGAGCCAGGCGGCATTTGCTAACCTTGGATGCTGTGTTCCTATTATGTCTTTGTTTGTCACGTGTATACACACGGCATATGCTTTGTTTTAATGCCATGTCAAGGTGCGGTATGTTCCACGACATATCCGTTGCAGTTCTCTCCCGAGTGAAAGTCATCGTTTGTGCCCCTCTTTTCCTCTTTTCCAGCATGATCCGCGACGGGGGTGACATATCCTTGCAAGATGCTCTCGATGCCACCAATTCTTTGAGATATTGTATCAAAGCACACCACACCCGACGACAATCTGTAAAGTAAAACATTTGCAGTAGATATACAACATATACTTTGACATGCCATGTACTGAGGACGCATGCACCAGACGCGCGGCACATGAGTTACGTGATAGTTTTGTGGAAGTATCGATATTAGGATGAGTACTGTTCTTAATAATATTAGTACTAGTGTGTGCTGTGATAGTATACATGTCAGTATTAGTAAACATAAATTAGTGTCAGTGCTCATGCTCGTTTTAGAGTTAGCGCTAGTGCCAGTGTCAATGTCAGTAATACAGCACCACTGCTAGTATCAGTGTCAGTCTTAATGTTGGGTTTAACCGCAGCTTATATTCGCAGAAGTGCTAGTATTAGTATCAATACTAGAACTAGTTTTGATATGTTAGAATATTGATAGTTTCGTACAGTAGCAGACTAGTATATCAATATATTATTAATGCATTCGAACAGTAACATATTTGTATACTTGTATACTTGTATATTTGATATGTTAGCACAACTGGTGCACGGGTACACTAGTATATTGGTGTATTAGTTTACTAGTATGTGTGCTATATTCATGTATTGTCTAGTCATATTTACAAGTATATCAGTATGTTGGCATATTAGCCTACTAATTTGTCATGTCGGTATACTTGCATGCTGCAGTAGTCGTATATTAGTATACTCGCATATTAGTATAGTATATTCATACATTAACGGGAAGTATATTATTACATTGGTATATGGGTATATGTTTATGCCAAAACATTAGTACATGAATGCACTAGTGTATATATCTGTATCTTAAGATAGTGGTATGTATTTTTATGTACATTAGTATATGCAGGTGTCTATTAGTAAAAAGATTAGCATTCATATCAATACGAATATACTATTGGTATTCGTAGGAGTTTTAATGTTGATATTAGAATTAAGACTATTCATAGTCGTATTAGCCATAATATAAGTGTTCATGCTGGGAATAGTACTGGCATTCATGAGTATTCAACAGATTATCAATATCCGTATCAGTGTTGGTGATAGCATTACTGTTAACACCACAAGAGTTTATGTAGTCGTACTCGTAGGAGTATCAATACTATTGCAAATATTGATGTTAATATAATAATATTGTGATAAGTATTAGTAGTAGTATTAGCGTTAGTACTATAATATTATGAACACACTTGAAGTATGTGTCACGCTTTCCAGGCAATCAGGCAATGACCAGGAAGATTCGAAGCTGCCAGTTTGAGTATTGGCATCGGCACCAAAACATGGCGACAGTGACAGGCAACATGTTGAAGTTTTTGCACAACCACCGGTGATGCCTTCTGAAACATGGAGTGCGAGGTTTTGGATGGAAGAGCGGAGCCCGAAAGTGAAATCAGAATCCGTTTCGGGTTTCGTGGGGATATAACATGTGAGAACAAATTACAACATGTAGAGCTAAGTAGATGCTAGGTGCAGAAAATACCGCAAATACCAATGATTTTGTATGTAGGTGAAGTCATGTAGAAATCGAAGCATGGGCAGCAGGAGGTAGAAAAAACCATGGTATGGATCATGGGGGGGGGGCGTGACCTTCCTTTTATTGGTTAACCAGTTTTATGGCCAGGATCCTATAATACAGATTTTGGTTAACCAGACAAAGGAACTACAACGGAGACTATAGGTAGAACTGAGCCCACATATCCTAATGTCCTCCTGGACCCTAAGGAACCTACCTTGTTTAGGGTGCCCTAATATGACTTCTTTTTGTAAGTCCTTGAAAAGGCTATTTGGGGTTAAGGCTACTAAACAAACTCCAACAAGATAAAATCTGAACTCTGAACAGCGGTTCCACAACATTTGAGCCCTTTCCCCAGAACCTAAAACCAATCCCTGAATTTCGGGGCTCGTTTCGGAACGTTCAATGAATAACTAGCTTGCCCATTCGTTGCAAAGGCTGCATCGGACCTCCTTGTGTTTAGCTCTCGTGGGGTGGCAGGCACAGACTGAACTTGCACGCTTTTGGTGGCTCTCGCAGATTGGCGTGGCAGCCTTGCATATCCTTCAATGCTTACGATGAGCAAGGGATCTCTTTGATATTCGATAGTCTTCCTTAGCACACGTGCTCGTGGTGGCGCGTGACATGATTTTAAGATCTTTTGGTGAAAGAAATCTGCACCTCTCCGCCGTGCAATGGGGACAATTTCCCCTAAACCCTAAACCCTCTATCTTTTCAAGATACTGCAGCCCGTTCCGCCCGTACATAAATTCGCGACGGAAGCTACATGCCTGACAGAGGGTCCATGCACTGTACATACACAGTATGCACTTGGTTGGGCCTTGTAGGGGGTGCCTATGTGGCTGCGAACTTACACCACATCCAAAACCTGTGGACCTGAACCCGAAACGCTAGACGCTCTAAACGTTTTCCTCTAACCTTGATGCCTGAAGCCTAGTCTTTTAAACCCTAGCCTAATAACCCGACCCCTAAACCCTACACCCCTGAACCGTTAATGACCCCTACACCCTGCCCAAGGGAAAGCCCAAGGACGACATTCAGCCTGCTTAGCTGCTATCTCCAAGTTCAGGGTTCGGTGGGTTTAGTGTCGAGGGCTAGGGGTTTAGGGTTTGGGTGTTTACGCTTTTGGCTTGAGGAAACCGTCAATAGCGACTCTTAACATGTCGATTCTTCCGGCAATGTCTAGAAACAGAAACTTTTAAGGCTTGATGCGGGTGCTACAGGATGAAACAGAGATTTAGAAGGGTTAATAACGGTGAATACGTTCTTTAAGGGCTCTCCAAAACTATGGCTCAAAATAGCCCAAAGCCTCATAGGGTATGGTCTTTGTAAAGCAAAATTTGAAGGAATTAAGACTTCTGTAATCAAGGCGCCTTATAAGCTCAGAGTAGGCTTGCGTCCTTGTAGTGTTCTACAGGGGCTCTTTCCGGATGTGGGGCTGTTACCAGGACCCCCTTTAATAGAGTCCTTGTTGCCCAGGGTATTTGGGTATGTTAGAGGGTAGTTGGGGGTCTAGGTAGCATAGTATGCTGGTATGTGCTACGAAAGGGATACTAGCACCTGATTATTCAAGCCCTAGAAGGATGCTGATGCTGTTCAATTGTCAGGTGTTTGATGCCTGGGAACCTACTTCTTGTTTACCTCGAGCCTCTCGGTTAGATAGTGGGTTTGACGGTTTAGGGTTCATGGTTTTGGGTATAATGATTTAGGGGTGCTACCGGAAGGGGTCAGGAGTCTGCTTACCATGCTATGGTCTTGACGGCCTCGTGTGTAGGAGAAAGAGAAAGAGACTCTGCCAACATTAGCTGGGCTTCTTCGATTGAGTCCGGCAGTTGTCGCAACAGCCATGGAGAAGTGAAGATTTCTGCGCATGGAATGTCGGTGTCAAGCGACGGTGTTCCCTTTCTGCGCAAAAACCGGTATGACAGGATCCGTGATGCAAGGTTGATGTCGGATAGAGGGTTTCAGTAAGGTGGGAACGCGTGCGTCTTCGACGGTTTGCAGGAAAGTAGCTTGTTCATCTGCAAAGTTCTAGCCTGCATGCGGATCGTTTCGGTGACAGGTTTGAAATCCACCACGTGGAATAATCAGCGGAAACTTAATCCTGCACCCGAAACCTGGCCTAATTAAGCCCTAAGCCGTACGCCCTACGCTGTCATGAATCATGAACAAACCTGAGCCCTAAGCCACAGGCATGCATCTAGACACTGTCACTTGAGTAGCTACTTATGCCCCCTTTTGTCTCGGGCTTGGGCATTATGTGAGTCCACGAACTTCCAGCTTCAGACACGGCGTAAAGTCTAGGGTGTGGTTTAACCCTAGGCTTCCAGGGACCTGATTATTGCGTCCTTAAGGGGTCTAGCTAGGGCCCTAACTATAAGGTCCTTGGAGGCCTTGGGTAAAAGTTTGAAGTAGATGATCGCCAGTCATCCGGAATCAAATCAGACGCGGTGAACAGCAAAGAGATACAAGAGCCTTCATCAATCCTACCGGACCTCCTGCGCTAAGGTCAGCGTGGTGAGAGCTCTCTCTTGTGTTTTGGGTTTAGAACTTTGGATTTGGGGCTGAGGATGCAGGATTTCGGGTTTACGGTTTCGGATTTCAGCATTCCTGAACTTGCTTGTCCTGGAACAAAACTTGTGTGGGTGGTTCTACTCCCGGATACTATGATTCATGTCTCATCGCTGTAGGACCTGGATCCAAGCCCGTTGGATTGCGCATTAAATTCAATTTGTGACTTTTTCGTTTGTGTGTGTTTCAGGTTTAGGGTTTCGGGTGCAGTTGAAGGGTATGCGCCTTGGTGGAGATCACACTCTCCTTCCACCCAGTCTCGGCATGCAAACACGTTTGAACCCGTCGAGGGTTTCAGACTTTGCACCTGGCTTGCTGCCTGTTGCTAGTTGACTCTCTCAATGTAGCTGGCGTCTTTAGGCCGCAAAGGGGGAACGGATGGTGGACGCCTTGAAGACAGCAGCGGTTCTGCTTTCGGGCCTCTGGCTTCATGTGACGGTGAGCGCCTTCAAGGTATCGGGGCTTGGTTTCAACGGAGACTTTCACATAGGACGTAGGCTGAGGTAGAAATTCAAGCGCACATGGATGAACGTCGACTATGGTCTTGGGGTATGTTCTCCTAGTTAACACAGAAGGGCTACAATCGAGTAAGATTCCTACGGCTGCGGATATAAATCCTGCTTTACCCATAGTACCATAATTCCCATCGTCTAGGGGCATCAGGGTAATGCAGGGTTTACTGATCCTAGAGGGTCCATATACACGATTATGGAATTAGGTCCCCAAAGCCATAATGGGGATGGTCTTTCAGGGCCTAATTCCATAATAATGGGGATGGTCTTTCAGGGCCTATAGATAATTCCATAATAGTAGTGTATGTGGACCCTCTGGGGATATCATCAACCATAATTGCCCAGTATAGATGCTGAGCCCTCATCCTCTAAAGGGCTTCCCATGGTTTTGCGTTTTGGGTTTACCTGGACCCTAAGGAATCTACCTTGTTTAGGGCTCCTCAATATGATTTCTTTACATAAGTCCTGAAAAAGGTAGTCCATTTTGGGTTAATGTGGGGTTCAGGCTCCCTAATATGATTTCTTTATGTAAAAAGGTAGGTTATTTTGGGTTAGGGTTTGCGTCAGGTGCGTGATCTCTCCAGCGAGACCCAGAAGGCGCCGCCATGTCAATGTCTTGGCAGCGATCCCTCCTGGGTGGCACCGGAGTCTGATCGAGAGGCGAGATGCGTGCTATAGGGGCTTACCCAAAGAGTCTCCATTGTAATTCCTTCTTGTGGTTACCCAGTTTGAGGGTTAGGATCCTATAATAGAGATTTTGGTTAACCAAAAAGGCAACTTCAATGCAGACTATAGGTACATCAGTTACCAATACTAGTTTGGGGGTTTCCTTATTATAAGTATAGTTTAATGGGCCCCAAAACCCTATTCTAATTATGAAAGCCCAGTCTGAAGAGAGGCGAGATGCGTGTTCATCGATCTGGGTGCAGCCAATGGAAACAGCTTTGAACGTTTTTTGCCGCTGGTCTGCAGCTGGCAGATAACCTTTTGCACCTAGGCTCATTGCACACAGCTACCCAATTTTCCCCAAGAAAAAGGTTGGTTAAGTTTGAGGCAGGGCGACTACACTCCTGTGGCTTCCTGCCCAAACGGAGGGAAGTGGGAGGCTCTCTTGGTGGAAGCCAATCCTCGTGACTGGATCGCAGCATGGCATCCTTTTCCCTCACACGGGATAGTTGGAGCTTCAGGGGTAGCTATAAGTATGGTTATAAGTCCCTTAATATGGGTTATAAGTATAGTTACCCCTACTTATAACCCTCCTTGTAACTACCCATGGACCTCCAAGTAGAGCTAGGTCTTTCGGATGCTGCTGGTTGATCCTTCTTTGCGATCGTGTGCTTGCCTGGCTTCTTTTGCCGCCTAAACAGGAGTGGCTCGTAAGCCTAGACTCAGACTTTCAATCCATGTTCGACCAACATGTGAGTCTCATCGTCAAGAATCTCAGTTGCCGTTTCACTTGCCGCGTGGTTCTCCATTACTATGAGACTACCCGAAAATACTAACTAGTAGAACTAGGTAGCTGGTGCGTCTGCCGCCGCGCGGGGTGCGTCGTTCATTTTTTTGGGTTTTTTGGTGCTAGAAACCCAGAGTTTTGTTTGGTTTTCGTCAACAACACGATGTTTCGGACTGTATGTGTTTTATAGTTTTTGTCTTGATGTTTTAGTGAGATTTTTTGCGGAAGTGTCGCAAATACCATGCTCTTCGTCTTTGATTTATGTTGATTTTTAGGGTCATGTTGGAAGTTTGGTCTGGAAAGTTCAAAAGCTCGAGGTGTTTGCATGTTGGACATTTGCAAAGTGAAGCAACAAGAATCGGCAGGCAAGGGTTGACAGAGCAACTGGTAGCGTTTCAAAAGTAACTCTGGCAGGGAGCAGCACTGTCATGTTCATGGTCATGTGCGGCAAGAACTATCGCTATAAAACACCGCAAAACCCGATGCGAAAACAAAAGCAAAATTCAATTTCGGGCGAACGAAGTGCCAAAACTCGAGTTTCAGCACATGCCAGCACATGAATCGCACCACACACGGCGGCAGACGCACCAGCAACCTAGAACTACGTAGTAGCTAGTTTAGCGTTGAGGGGTATCACTCCGAAACCCGAAGATGCCATGCCGCGGAGGTTTCGATTCAGCACTGCACCAGGTCGAGTCGGAGCGCCCAAACCAGGTGGGAGTTTCCGAAAATGGGGATCCTAATATCGTACCCTAAATAGTAGGACCCTTACTATAAGGAGCGCAAAATAAGGTACCCCTAATTTTCGGAAACTCCCTAAACCCTAAACCGTATGGATCCCTTATAGGAGCCCTTAAAGGATCCCTTTAAAGGAACCCTAAGGTACCCCTAATTTTCGGAAACTCCCAGGTCAAGGCCATGCCCTCCTCGGCGGCCTACATGTGCGACGCAGAAACGAGCGACTTGGCTTCATGCTTCCCAAAGCTGCATGTTAATTAGCAGGCACTTAGTACATACTTGGTCCGCAGCAAATGTATGCTATACTGTTACTGGGAACTTTGGGTTTAGGTTTCAGAGTGTCCGGTTAAAATCTCGGCTTGGGATGAGGCCGTTCGATGAGCCGCTGTCTCCAACATCCTTGCACAGCCCCAAGCTCACACCCCCAAGCCTCCAACACCTCAACCATTACCCCTTAGCACTAATACCCGAAGCCCTAAGGCTCCATGTACCCATATAGTATATACATAGGCCTTAAAGTACCTATATAGGGACCCCTTTAAGGCCTAAGTATCTACTATAAAGGTACATGGAGCCTTAGGGAAGACTTGAGGTTTCTACCTGGACAATGTGAACGCCAAGCACAACTACTGGGGGTCCAGCCTTTCCCCTTCGCATAAAGACGTGGTGAAGAGCGGCAAAGTGAAGGTCACGGTGCCCACAAGGCAAGCCTGGTTGCCAAAAGGTGGGTTGGGCGAGTTTTCAGTCGAAGTTAGGCTTCATAATATAGGGGCCTTAATAATTACCTAGACAATATTTTGGGGGTTCCCTCTTCGAATTACAGTATAATGGGCCCCCAAACCCTGTTCTCATTATTAAGGCCCCTATTGTAGGTTCTGGGCTTCAGGGTTGCAGGGGTTTGAGATACGGTCAGGGTTTCGGGTTCTGTTGACGCAGTATGGGTTTGGGAAGCAGAGTCATAACAAACAGCGGTTAGTGTCAGTCTGTAGGAGTAATGAAGTGCTAAACACCTTAAAATCTGTTCAGAACACTGCTCAGGAACCTCCTCCGGATCCTCCATGAGCAGACAACAGCGAAGGCCAGCTCGGCTGCACATAGCCCCTAAAGCCTAAACCTCTAAACCATGAAGCTGCTCCTTGGTCGTGACGCTTTTTGTTGCAAGGCGGAATGAAAGGAGTGGTAAAAAGAAAGCCTAAAGCCGAACAGCCGCACCACTCTCGCGGACCGCACGAAGGACTTGGTGATTGTTAAGATGGACATCGAGGGAGCGGAGTTTGATATCATCCCCTGCCTTGCGAAGTCTCCGCAGGCACGTCTTGTTGACAAGCTTTTCATGGAAGTGCACAACCCATCTTGGGGTTTGGTCGGCACCAGCGAGCAGGAATTCCAGCAGGCGCAGGCCAACCTTCGCAAGCAGGGAGTCACCATTCCTCCCTACAACTCGCCCACGCTGGTCCAAGCCGCTAATTTGTCCGTCGCCAAAATCGGTCAGATCATGGTGTTGACTTATCCCGAACGCAGAAAAGCCTACAAGTACGAGAAAGTCTTTCCCGATATCCACGTCACCTGGATGGTCGGGTTGACGGCTACAGACTTCGAGAGCGAAGAGGACATGCTGGACAGAGAGCAGCTGGTTCCCATGACTGAGCTGATGAAGGCCCAGTGGCAACGCAATCCCCACCAGCACCAAAACCGTATCGATGGCAGGCCTTTGGGCACTCTGGCATGTTCCCTGGGCCACTACAAGGCATGGCAAACAGCTGTAGCTTCCTTGAGCGGCCGTGAGTGGATGATCATCCTGGAGGACTTATTCCCTAAACCCTAAACCCTCGGAATTTTGGCGGGAAGGGTTCCGGCACACCGGAAGCCTGACCACGTATGGAATGCCCAGACCTTTCCTCAATATCGCTTAAGTGAGGAATATACCCTAAATCATATTTGGGATCTGCTACGTTGACTCTGAAGAAAGCCTTAACCCCAAATAAGCCACCTTTCGAGGACCTATGTAAGGAAATCATGGTAGCGAAACATGAAAATGGAGGTTTCATGGGGTCCAGGACGGTCCAGGTATTCCTTAATTGAGGGATATTGGTAGGTCTGCGGGAGGCTGATCTGGGGTTCAGGCTTAGTTCCTCTTGTCCCGTCGCCAGGCGGTCAACAGATTTTGGAGTCAACAAATGTTCACAACAAAGAAAGACCGATAGAATCAGAAGATGCACCTGGCATTGTTCTGAGTTTCAGCGGTTCGAGCTGAGATTTTTAGGCTGGCTTGGGCTTATAGTAAAACCCCATAAAGTTGGAAACCGGATTAAGGCCAAATAGTGGAGGCTATTGGGTTTCCAACTTTTGGGCTTCTACTGTAGACCCTAAACCCTAAAACCCTAAACCCCTAAACCCTAAACCCTAAACCCTAAACCCTAAAACCCTAAACCCTAAATTCCCACCCAGGCCTGCTTAGGCCGTACCCACCCTTTTTCTTAGGGTGCCTGGACCCAGAAGGAAACCCGGCAGTGATTGACACCAACTCTGGATGGACAATGGGTGGAGCCATTGGAGAGTGGTCGAACCTAGGGCTGAGCCAAGCCATTAGGCCCCTTGCGTGGCGCCCATATACCCCCCCCGGCTGGCAGATTCCAGGACGCGGGGGCTCCTGGCGGGTCCTAGGGGGAGACCTGGCGTTCCATTTCTGATTCAGGCTAAGCCGTTTTGCCCTCCCTGGCCCCCCCCTGGACCCCCCTGGCCCCCCTGGCCCCCCCTGGCCCCCCCTGGCCCCCCCTGGTTCCCCCTGGCCCCCCTGGCCCCCCCTGCCCGAGCCCTGCCCTCCCTGGCCTCTGTTTTGTGGGGGGCCTTCCTGGCCCCAACAGACAGACCGGGCAGGTGGGAATTGAGGGCGTAAGCGCTAAACCCTAAAAGGCAATGTTTTGGGTGGTAGCCTCTGTATTCTCACAGCGGGCGGGAAAAGGTGAGGAACCAATGTGTAATTGTTTAGTGGTGGAATCGCATTCGAACGCTAGACGTCGATATGCCGCCCCCCCACACCCCTGGGAGTGTTGGGGCGCCATCCTACATAGAAAATACTGCCGCTGCGCGGCGAGACGCCCTAAACCCTAAACCCTAAACCCTAAACCCTTAAACCCTAAACCCCTTAGATCCTTTCTTTGGAGGATGATGCCCAGCCGCAAACGAGCTCGGAGGAGCTCCGGCGGCAGCTTTCGGAGCTTCCTGGCCAATGCTTTAAGGGGGGCCTTCGGAAGGTAGAGTAGACACCCTATAGATCCCTTTAAAGGAGGGTTTAGGGTTTAGGTTTTAGGGTTTAGGTTTTAGGGTTTAGGTTTTAGGGTTTAGGGTTTGGGGTTTAGCTAACCATTGATATTGGAGGAGCTAAGGAGCCAGGGATGATGATCCTCGTCATTAAATAGGGAGCTGATGAAGAGCCAAGGGAACCCCAAAACACCCTAAACCCAAAACCCAAAACCACTGGTCAGTAGAGCCTATGGGTCTTCGTGGTTTAAGGATTTGTGTTCAACGGCTGAAGGCTAGAAGGGCAGGACTTCGACACCTATAGGGTCATACCCTACCCCTTTTTTAAGGTACCTACTTTTCTATATAAGAGAACCACCATAAAACTAGGTATCCTAAAAAAGGGGTAGGGTATGAGCCTCTAGGTATTCTATTGGGTTAGGAGGTTCTGGGGCTTTACGAACTCCTCCGGCTATTTGGAGCGACTCGGGCCCTCATAGAAACCTAAACAAATTACCCAAAATATTCTTCAGGCTTCCTCTAGTATAGCTATACTATAAAGGAGCCCAAAACCTTACTCTCAGTATTTAGAATCCGACAGTAGCCCGTGCTTTTTTCAGGATTCCTCCGGATGTCGATCTGGTCTTGCTGGAGGATCGGCACTGCAGGAGCGGCAACGGCACTGGCTCCACGGCCTACGCCATAACAGCCAAGGGGGCGCGAGCACTCCTCAACGTGCCGTTCCTTGGGTTGTGGGTTTCCAGGGCTCCGGCTTGAGGTTGAGGGTTCAGGCTTTAAGGTTTTATGGTCAGGGTTTAGGGTTTAGGGGTCTACAAGGCGTTCTTTTGAGGTGTGGCAACCGATGCAACAAAGCTCATAGACCCCAGAAGCAGCCAAGGTTCATGTACAATTCCGACTTCTACCTGGAACAGCCAGTAGAGCGTGGCCTCATCAAGCGTAAATGCTTGTCGCCCCAATTCCACCATCGGCCGATGGAGTTTACGGGCACAAGTATGTCCAACCTTGTGCAGTTGTCAAACCCCCATTCCCGCGCAGCATAGGTCGTCTGCTTCGACCTTGCCCAGGAATACGCAATCGGTGGAACAAAAATATCGAGACATAGTACTAGGGAGAGTACCCAAAAATATCAATGCTGACGCATTACAAGTTTCACCAGGTCCAGCCTCAATCAAGCCAGTGTCTCATTCCGACAGACTGCGTGGTTCCTGTCATGCTAGTGACTAGTTTTTGTCATGCTAGTGTGTCAGCGAGCGGCAGTTGAAGATATTGTGGTGGCTTCCGTCTGCGACTGTGCAGGGTCGGTTGATGACACAGAACGTACCTCTGCAGCCTGCAACATGGGCGGAACTTAGGGGTACTTCGAAATAATTTTTAGTTTTTGGTTATTATAATCCCTAAGAAACAGCTAAAATTATAATTTTTGCTAGGGCTCTAAGTTCAGTATAGGGAATTCCGGGTGGCTCACAATTCACCCAGTGATAAAAGGGAGAACGTGATACAAACCATTCGTCCTGCTTCATTTTTGCACATGGCTCAAGCTGACGGAGCACATGCGTTCTGTTCACATATGCCTGAGAATGTTTTTTTGCAAAAATATGTTTATTTCTTTATACGTACATTAATATGTAATACATAAACAGATATACGTCAGATCTAATCTAACATTTGTCATTGCTCCCAAGCTCTGGCCCGACACCACCAACCTGACACCCGGAAAAAAAGAACCAAGCAGCCTCGTAGGGTTTAGGGTCTAGGGTTCCATTTTTCAAGCTCATGGTACGCCTTCGAATCAGAATACACGCGCCTAAGTTTTAACCTTGAGTTTCCAGTCCCTGTGAACCGAGAGCACTAGACTCTAGGCATTTTTAGGCCCTAGACATTAAGCCTATATAAACCCCGGAAAGTAAGTAAAACAATGGCCCAACGCCCATAACAAGGCCATTATTCTACATGTTTTTTCGGTCAAGGCAGACGCTAGTCCACAGCCCCCCGAAGCCCTCAGGGGAAGTAGAGCAAAACTCGTCCAGTTTCTTCGCGAGAATTCCTTTCGCCCGGCCATGGCTCAGTCGAGCACGGCCTGCGAAGTTTATGGTCTTAGGGCTAGGGTTTGGGGTTCAGGGTTCCAGTTCAGATTGTGGAGTTGCTGTCTTGGTTCCCAGATAAGTCTGCATGGTCTCGAAGATAGCTCGATCGTTGCGATAGCAGGCTGACCCCCTCAATTCCTGCGCGCATAGAACTGGGCGGGGCACGGACTTCAGGCTTTAGGGTCCATGGTTGAGGGTTTACGTCTTATGGCCAATAATCCAAGTAGTGGCTTACAGTTTCAATCTTCATGGGTGTGATGTTCTTGCCCATATAAGCTTATTACACTATTGAAACTACTGCTGCTGATGCTGCTGTCTGGAGAAACGGTTATTGAAGAGAGGGAGAGGTCGTGAGATTCAGGCTCGGGCATGACAACCCTTCCCCAGGCCACTCAGCACGTTGCATATCAGCAATCCGTAGATCCTCAAGTGCAACCCCTAAATCTTCGTCCCTACTGGACTTACTTTGTTGCCAAAGCCCTATGGCCAAGAGGCTAGACGTAAACCCAACACTCCGGATTTGTTATTGCTATTATTCTTTGTTACTTGTATGTCATTCTACTGTTCTGCTTGTTCTCATTTTCTACTTAAGTAAAATTACATATCGGCAGTTGTTCAGGCTTTTATAGTCAACCCGGAACTCCAAAGCTGACCCCTGTGCTTCAGGCTTTAGGGCTTCGGGTTCGGAATTGGCAACATACCGAACTGCGGTTGAACGCAAACACCTCGCAAGATAAACTGATTCAGCTCATAAAGCAAGGTATAAGTGGTCAACCCCAAATGCTACCTAAGTAGGATCTTGCCTCAGGTTTACTTATGATCTCTATAGGGTCCAGAACATCACAAACATTATGGCCCCTCAGCCCCAAACCCTAAATCCTAAACCTTAACCCTAAGGGTCCATGTACCCAAATAGTATGTCCTTTGGCCCCAATGTACCTATATAGGGACTACTTTACGGCCAATGTATATACTATTTAGGTGCATGGACCCATAAACCCTAAACCCTAAACCCTTATAGGAACCCTTAAAGGAACCCTTAAAGGAACCCTTAAAGGAACCCTTAAAGGAACCCTTAAAGGATGGCAACAGGTTCCAGGCGATCGAGGTTCAACCCACGCAGCTCTGAGCCCCCGAACTATCCGGTACCTTGAACATGACGGTTTAGGGTTTAGGGTTTTTGGGGGGTTCATTTAGGGTATATTTAGGGTTTAGGGTTTGGGGTTCATTTAGGGTATATTTAGGGTTTAAGGTTGAATCCTTTAGCACCAACAGAACGAACTCCTGATTCGAAACCCTTAAACTAGGACCTAGAGTAGGCCCTTATTCCCTTTTTTAGGGCTCAGGTTCCCTTGTAAGCCCCTGTAAACCAAAAAGGGCACCCTTGTTATTCCTAGGTTACTCTTGGGTCTAGTAAAGGGTTTTGGGTTTATAGGGTTTCCATGCCCTTAAGAGGGTTTAGGGTTTATAAGCTTCAGCTCGAGCCATCGAATCCCGCTCCAAATCCGTCATCGCCAGGTCAGCCGATGGCCTACACGTACCTCCAGCCGCGTGCGACCGTCCAGGATGCTTGGGTTAAGTGGGCAGTAGCAGTAGCAGTAGCAGTAGCAGCAGCAGCAGCAGTAGTAGCAGCAGCAGCAGTAGCAGCAGCAGTAGCAGTACCAGTAGCAGTCGCAGTAGCAGTACCAGTAGCAGTAGCAGCAGCTGTAGCTGTAGCAGTAGCAGTAGCAGTAGCAGCAGCAGCAGCAGTAGTAGCAGCAGCAGCAGTAGCAGCAGCAGTAGCAGTACCAGTAGCAGTCGCAGTAGCAGTACCAGTAGCAGTAGCAGCAGCTGTAGCTGTAGCAGTAGCAGTAGCAGTAGCAGCAGCAGCAGCAGTAGTAGCAGCAGCAGCAGTAGCAGCAGCAGTAGCAGTACCAGTAGCAGTCGCAGTAGCAGTACCAGTAGCAGTAGCAGCAGCTGTAGCTGTAGCAGTAGCAGTAGCAGTAGCAGCAGCAGCAGCAGTAGTAGCAGCAGCAGCAGTAGCAGCAGCAGTAGCAGTACCAGTAGCAGTCGCAGTAGCAGTACCAGTAGCAGTAGCAGCAGCTGTAGCTGTAGCAGTAGCAGTAGCAGTAGCAGCAGCAGCAGCAGTAGTAGCAGCAGCAGCAGTAGCAGCAGCAGTAGCAGTACCAGTAGCAGTCGCAGTAGCAGTACCAGTAGCAGTAGCAGCAGCTGTAGCTGTAGCAGTAGCAGTAGCAGTAGCAGCAGCAGCAGCAGCAGTAGTAGCAGCAGCAGCAGTAGCAGCAGCAGTAGCAGTACCAGTAGCAGTCGCCGTAGCAGTACCAGTAGCAGTAGCAGCAGCTGTAGCTGTAGCAGTAGCAGTAGCAGTAGCAGTAGCAGCAGCAGCAGCAGTAGTAGCAGCAGCAGCAGTAGCAGCAGCAGTAGCAGTACCAGTAGCAGTCGCAGTAGCAGTACCAGTAGCAGTAGCAGCAGCTGTAGCTGTAGCAGTAGCAGTAGCAGCAGCAGCAGCAGCAGCAGTAGCAGTAGCAGTAGCTGTCGCTGTGGCTGTCGCTGTAGCTGCGGGTGTAGCTGTAGTTGTAGCTGCAGCTGTAGCAGAAGCAGCTGCAGGAGCAGTAGCAGGAGCAGGAACCGCCACAGTGGCAGTGGCAGTAGCCGTAGCAGTAGCAGTAGGAGCAGAAGTAGGAGTAGGAGTAGGAGTATGCGTAGAAGAACTACTAGTACTAGCAGTAGTAGCAGTAGTAGCAGTAGTAGTAGTAGTAGTGGTTAGCGCGTTTTATGTCCACACTTTTAACAGTCTCAGGAAGCCTCTACAGGCGAATATTGCACAGGCCTCATACAAAAACTGGTCAAACCCTTACTTAGAGGACCCCAGGGGAATTGGCCGCTAAGGTTCCTTGAGGGGTTCCTTAAAGAGCTCTTTACAACAGATCTACAAGGGTTCTCAACCCCATAAGCTTCATTGATGCCCTTCCCCTAATCGTCCATGTACCCAACCAGGGTTCCTGTAAAGGGTACCATAGGGCTTAGGGATATTTGGGATATTGAAGGGTCCATGTCGAATATATGCTGCGGCCCCAACGTACCTATATAGAGACTAAATTAAGGCCAATGTAGATACTGTTTGGGTTCGTGGACCCTAGGGTTCTGAAACCCTTACAGCCTCCTGGATGCTTGACATAGAGCCTGATGCAACGCAGGCCACGGCTGCAGCACCCCTCATGGTGCAGGCTGTGATTGGGATTTAGGATATTCGATGTCTGCCAAGGTTTCTATCAGTCTACCTTATTAAACGTTTTGGAGGGTTCTAGGCCTTATCATGGCTTTAAGCTTCAAGGTTGAGGGCTGTAGGGATGCAGGGTTTCGGGGTGTAAGGGGACTCGGAGCTCTTGTTTGGGTCTTTACCTTTTAGTACTGCATGTTGTATGAGCGGTTGTTTCGATTTGTCATTTTTTAGGTGAGGCATCTTGAACGCGGCAGCATCTTGGGATTTAGGGTTTAGGGGTTTAGGGTTTAAGGTGAAACTTGTATATAATCAGCCGGTATGCCTGGCACTACTGTGCAAGGCTTTGAATAGCGCCCGTTCTTCATCAGCACATCAACCATGGCAGTAATCATACGAACTGTGGTAATGGTTACGTTTGCACGACTAAGTTACTACTTCCCCTTGTTTTGCGTTTGCTCACGGCTCACGTATACTCCTCTCCTCGTCCGACTTCTTTCTGCTGTTGCTCCTCCTCCTCCTCCTTTCCCTCCTCCTCCTTCGCCAGCTATCTGCAACAGCAATGAGGACGAAGACGACGACGAGGAGGACAGAGACGACGTGCACTACCACTACTCCTAATACTACTACTACTACTACTACTACTACTACTACTACTACTACTACTACTACTACTACTACTACTACTACTACTTCGACTTCTACTTCTACTTCTACTACTGCTACTACGACTACTACT